GGGCCTATACTACAAATGCATTTTATAACAATAGTGTCACTACTTGTCCATTCGAACAACATAGCGAAGTTCTTTCACGAGACCGGGTCCTATCTTCGCCATAAATAAAGGCCATTGTTAACCTGTTCAACATGTGACAGGAATCGAAAGTTAATCTTCAATGCCAGATTAGCTCCGACCTCTCCAGCGTTTCAGTTCCGCAGCAGACTAATGGATGCCCCACCAGGGCAGCCACAACTGGCTCCTTCTCTTTCGAGAGGGGAACTCATTTGGCTCGCCATTTTTTGCACTTAACAAAGACTGTTGAGTTTCTCAAGAGCTAATTTACAGTAAATTGCACAATTCTAAGTAAATGAATGCAAACTTTTACTCCTTTCAATGTATTGAAACTGCGCTGTCCTTATCACACACTATTCAAGACAATCAGGCCACCCTATTAACTATAGAGTTAAGTGTCCGTTGCACATATTACAATTGAAGATTGCGGAAGAATACGTTTTACCATTTCTTTGTATAATGTTTATTGTAATTAGTACTATCTTTGGGATTGAAATAAATTGTTGACCTAATTGTGTGGGCAGTCAGATGAATTTTCTCTCAGTCTGCCAGTTTACTGGCAGGATCTGTAAATGACCCTCAGAGGAATTCACAAAGGTGTTGGACTCTTTTGGACTCGGATTGAAAGTAGCGTGCAAGATGAGTACAAAAGTGTATTCATAGTCCAGATACTGAACACTTTTGGCAAATCGAAAGCTGAAAAGAGCATTAATGCCGTTAAACAAGGTTAATTCCCTAGTTCATCTGTGGACATCAGTGGAACAACTCATCTGGAATAATTACATGTTGTTAAGATGGACTGAATTTCACAGAAACAGGCACATTGTAGCGGTCTTTCTGGAGTAGCTTTATAGGCTCTTCTTGCTTTCCTGGTCACCTCCCTATCGCCCAGCTTGCTCGAGTGATTTCATGTCATTTAAGTAGCCGCTTGTGCGCTGCGCACGACAGTCCCAGATCCCCGCTGACATACTGTTACTGTTTTATCAACAGAGTTCATTGTTCCCTGGATGATTCTGAACACTCCAGACACAATAACAGTATGTCGTTTGTCATGCCACAGCCCCGGATTGATTCTCCTCATTTTTGAGGAGGCTGAATAGAGTGGGCTCGGCCCCGGTTGGTCTGAACCGTCAGCAGGTGGCGCACGGGCCAACACAGCTACCTGATCTCCCCAGCTGTTGTTGGCAGAACACCTGAAGGCCGGGCGCGATTCAGAAAGGGCAAAGATGGTTTTTCTAACAACCAACAAGGATGCAACGGACTGGCACTCTTTGTGACGTTGGGGTTGGCACATGTCGGGATCACCGCACCTTCGCTGCATTTTGGAAGACGATGGAACTCCGACCTGAAGAAGTGGAGAACTGGTTTTCATGGCGTGGGCACACTGCTATACACCGGAGGAGCTGGGAATTCAGTGGTCAGGGCCTACGATCTCCATCATGGGGGCTGCGATGGACCGTGCACGGTCCCAGGTGCTCATGTCGGTCCATAGCATCCTGGAGTTTAACCTGTATTGGCTGCCTTCCCAGGGCTGGAGGGTGGACATGAGGGGTGTGTTGGGGCAGCCCGCGTGAAGAGCTGCCCTCGTCTTCACGGGCGCGCTGCCCCGGGTGTCGGCTTCAACTTTGCCTCCGTCTCTCTCGTGGCCTACACAGACTGTGGGAGTTCGGGACAAGGGTTTTCCCTATTAATGCTACGCTGGGGGAGTAGCGGGCGATGTTCGTCTGGGATGGTTGGAGGCGTCTCTGCCTACTGATTCATCGAGGGACCTCTGTCTTCTTCTCCGTGGCTGTGTGCGATAGGGGGACCTACAACAATGCAAGCCAAGTTGAGCCCACGCACCGCGCAGGCAAAGCACAGGAAAGGCACTACCAGAAGACAGAGGTGTTATAGATTTCTTATTGCCAATTCACACAATATATTTTCATAGGCCCGTCTAGCTTGCAGAGTGAAGCATAATGATCATTAATGCTGGTTGATTTTTAAGAAAATCATTTCTGGACCTAAGTGACCTAAAAGCTGCATGGGTGTAATTGTTCATGTTCTGAAGTCAAATTTGTAATACCTGTTAAGTTAGATCTCTGTTTCTGGCTATTATCGAGTGACCTTCATCAGTTTCTACACTATTACAGATGTCCTCATAATAAGCATACGTAGTATTTTTAGTTAAGTCCACTGACCCACGGCAAAATACAGACAGATGGAAATATTTTCGCTGAGCATCATAAGTACATATAGAATAAATCCCGCAGATGATTGACAATTTATTTAATTCACAGCAGGTCCCTTTAATTGACCCATCAAGTTATCTATTGTTTTTTCGATCACATGCAAAATGTTTTGGGTACTTTTTGCGTGTATAATTTTTGGAAAGAACACGGGCTTTACACTGAGAAACACTAGAAAATACAGGTTTCTTCACATAGATTTTATTTCCAGTTACAGTATCTATTTATCGTTGATAAATCTTTCATCTTTGCCAGCTTATAAAGAATAAACAATACGTTTACATTACATTTCATTTAGCTGACTCTTTTTATCCGAAGCGAATTACAAGTGACGAATTAGCAGGGAACATTCTCCCCTGGATAACTAAGGGGCTAAGTGCCTTACTCAAGGCACACTTGTGTGTGGGTTCGCTGGCGGATCGTGAACCCACAACCTTCTGATCTTCAGCCCACCTCACATCACATTAACCACACTAGCCCCTCGCATGGTGAGTATACGCATCTCAGCTGGCCACCGGTGTACTCCATCCACGAATGTCCCTTTGGAACAAGTAATCAAAACGAGCAGGGCAAGTAACTACAGCAACGACTGGCATCTCTCCCGCAGCCCAACGAGCGCAGGTATTATTCAAGGAACATCTGATCATGATAATGTAATAATACATGAATGTCCAACATGGTGGTGCACAGTGCTCCGAGTTCGCTGCCGGGAGCGAAGTGACATATAGCCGGGGCGTTCGGCATTCGGCTGGAGCTCCTCTGTTTACATTTCGTTTCGGGGAGGGGAGGGCTTGCCCCAAGCAGCTTCTCTTAGTCCTTAATACATTACTTGGTGGGATTACTGTCGCCTGCATAACATAGTGAGATTCAGAATCTACTGATCTCTGACATGTGTTTAAATGTTTTGAGAATAGTTTACTGTCAGTGTGTAAGTAGCTGCATGTAATATTATACTGGTAATGCCAACCATTTTATTCTCTATAACGCAAGCATTTAAAAAAACAACAGAGTTGAACAAAGTGCTGTACATCAACAACTGTATAAAAACATAGCATAAATACATAAAAAACAGACAGGACATGAAACAAATGTAAAACACGAAACAATGAAACCAGATCAGAAGGCACAGACTGAAAAACTCTCCTACATGACGTACAAACAATACAAAACACTAGTAAGATAAAACCCAAATTTAAAAGCACAAGTGTCACCTGGTCTGTAAATGCCAGGGAAAAGAAGTGGGTTTTTAAACAAGATTTCAAAACGGGCAGAGTTGGAGCAAGTCTAACCTGGAGGGGCAATTCGTACCGTAACTTTGGAGCTGCAACAGCAAAGGCTCTGTCTTAAGTCTTAATTATGATTTTTGGCTACTTGTACCTTGCTTAAAATGTTTTATTTAAAATTCAGATCTTTAGCTTATACAAAATATAAATAAACAAACTTGTTAGTAAACAAACTAAGATGTATAATTATATGTTAAAATCTCCAGCAGTGGTATAAGTAATTAATTAAGTATAGCTCCACATTTACCAGATGTGATGAACACATTATTGCATAACAATTATAATCCAGTAGTTTAATATATATGATTCTAGAGAGAGAGACCAGTTTCTATGAAGAGTGTCTAGACCAGAGGTGTCAAACTCAAATACACAGTGGGCCAAAATAAAAAAATCGGTACTAGTCGAGGGTCGGACTGGTTCAATGTTTATTGCAGAACTTATTGAAATGAACTCATTGCACATATTAAACCTGGAACTAACAAAGCTTAAACGATTGCCTATAAAAACAACATTAAACATTAAATAATCAGTTGCATTCATTTCTTATGGCTCTATCTGCAGCTTTTCCAGAGTCATTTCTTATGATTACATTTTTCCACAGGCCAACAACAGCTTAAAAGAAAAGTGCAAAAAGGAAACATCCATGTAAACTCAGTGTGCTGCTCTGTGATGCTCAAGCCAGATACTTGGCATCTCATCTCGGGTGCAAGGTCATCAATGTTTGGGCTCAGGCTCAGAGCTGAGGAAATCCTCAAGTTCAGTGAAGGTGTGCGTGCAATATACCGGCGGGCCAGATCTAATAGTAATTAGAAATTATCCTGCGGGCCGTAATTAAATCCACCAAGGGCCTGATTTGGCCCCCGGGCCTTGAGTTTGACACATGTGGGGTAAAGGCTGGCAACAGACCAAAAAATAGGCCAATAGCAATATTGAAAAGGCAAACCCCTATTGTCCATTTTGAATGGAGAAAGAACACGTTTTTATTTTTAGACATCTTTATTGACTTATCAGTTACTGGTAATGAACATGGCCTATGATCAAAGAAAGAGTTGCCTCTTACACCGTAATATGAGGCATCTATGAGATCCATTCCTTCACTAAAGTTTGATTATCTAAATTATCTAAGCTGATTTATGTTATGTATACACTCCTTGTATATAATGGGATGATGGGTGTAATCCTGCTGACTGTAGAGTTGATAAGCTTAGGATCAAGTCCCTTCACCCACCCTCCACACGGTCACCTCACAATGATAATGGAGGGACTTACACAACAGTAAGACCCAGCAACAAATCTATAGACACGAGCATCTTCAAAAGCTGGATTTTTGTTATTTCACAGGTTACAAACTCTCTGGTGGTTGTGTGGAGCATCACTCACCATGTGTGGCAAATGTTGCATGTGTGCAGCAATGTTCAAATTGGATTGCCCAAGAGTTTTGGGAAGTAGCTGTTTGGCCACGGGGACAGCTGTAGCCTGGACTGTAACCAAAGACAGGACACCTAACAGAAGACAAGAAGACGAATAATGAGTAGAGCTCGATTGATATGCCATAGCACCCTATTGCAAAATGAAAGGCACAGAGTTTCCTGTGTGGGAAAGATAGTTTATATAGTGAACATTATCTGATTGCAAAGTCTTTCCTATCATAATCACGTTGGTGTTGGACTTATTTTTATACAAAATCAGGCCATAAACCATGATTTGTTTAAAACAAACAAAGCAATACCATTTCAAATCAAACAATCAGCCACCTCACTGCTCTGTTCAATTATTTGAATGAACCTTTAAAATGTAAACCATTCACATAACTGAAACCATTACACAATTGTAATTGATATTAGTAGGTAAAGTAAAATGTTGGCAAAATGTGGCGGTGACAGGACACAGAGACATTAATGTAGAGAATGAAACTGCAGTATAAAAAGGCATTTTCTAGAAACACATACCTTTGCTGGGGCTCAGATTCTGATCGATGAAAACCTTCAGCTCTCCGTTAGTTTCTATCAGACCAGCCTGCAAAGGACAAGAGCACACTCGGAATTACAACATTAAAATATACTAAATGGGTCCAATGAACCAAAAGTTTACAGAAGAAACGTGATATTAAAAAAGGGAATATCTTAATGTAAAGCAAGACGTTATCCTAAGATCAGTCAAAGTAACTACAAAAAAGGTGGCACATTGGGCAAAGGGCTCTTTAGTTATCATCAATTAACTGGTTTGACTGGAGACATTTTGGTAATATTTGGTATTTGACTATCTAGGTTCCTTAAAATGCATTAACTACACATAAACTAATACATAAACTAAACAGGTTTTCCAGCATAAAATAAAAGCAACAAATTATAATAATAAGTTACTTACATCTTTCGCCATGATCCCAAAGGACCGGAGCAGTTGGGCTTCAGGCTTAAAATAAATGTTTCTTTATTTGTCCCTTTTCAGACCCCTGAGGACAGAAAAAACAACAACTATTACATTACAGTAGTTAGTTTCCAGCTCATCCCAAATATCACATTTTTTATTATATTTCACAGTTTAAATCTATTTAACTACAGGTTTGTTTTCCAATTAAACTGAAGTATGTCTGAGGCCCATTTAAACTGCTTGCTGCCAGCACACTGGACACAGCTACAGCATTAATGTTAGCTTGAGTAACCGTGTGTTCTTAGGAGACAACATTAACGACAAATGTGCATATTTCAGACCTTCCTCGACTATATGAGCCTTTGAGGTGAATTTCTAAATGCACCTTGTCTGCAGAAACTCACAACAAAGCCTCCCTTGATGCTCACAACTTTTACTGAGCTAAGTGTGCACAAGGCCTACTTCAGGTACCGTCCGGAGGAGAGGCATCGTCGAACTTCTGCTACAGGTCACGCAAACATGCTAACTTTATCACACCAGCGCAAAACTATTAAAGAGACTTAAGTGATAGCACCATGTAGTTACAGTCCATTAGCAATGTTGCATGCACTAGCAACATTATTCACCTCATACAACGACAGCGAGGAACACTCTTTTGTTGAATGCAGCTAGCTAACAGTTAGCGTTCGATTCAGCCTGCTGGCGTTAGCTAGCCAGTTAGCTTATGCACGTTTTCAAAGGATTCACTTAGAAAATTGCGATTATTTAGTTCCGTGCTGCAGATTGAAGGCAGAGTTCAGCGTGGGTTATCATTTAAGAAATGTGTGTGCATTTCGCACGGTGAATAAAGTTAATATAGTGATTATGTGCACTTACGAGTGCACTCTCCTATTTCTTCGACGGCTGTTGTTGTTGGCATTTGAGAATGGAGGAAGAGGAGGTCTAAATCCTTACCAAACAGGAAACAAACTAAGCAATGTCGAACTACTTTAATATAATTATATGCGTAATACCATAGACAAATTACTTAAATTGTGTGAGTGTTTACTAGTGAGTTTATTTCTCGCTCAACTTCCTGTTTCTTGTCATTTTATGCCAGGATTTGCCTGTGTCGTATTGAGACTGAATTAAAAAGTGATCGTTTTCAATGGATCAAAGACTAACCACTGAAAAAGTAAACAGAACAAGTTAAGAATTAAGCATAAACAACATGTGTTTTATTCAGACTGAGACATTTTAAACTACATATTTCGCCAAGACTTCTGATTTGTCCTTTACTTTCTGGGTGATTAGATTCTTGATGTTTAGTGTTGATTATTGGCAGTGATAGGTTTGGACACTGGTCAGCAACAAACTTAAGAACAGTGAGGTTGTTCCGAAGTTACACTGAGGAAAACTAGCATTATGTTTAGGAATAATGTCTTAAACTAGACACATAAACACACAAGCCTGTTTGTAATAAATACATAGAAGAAAACACCGAGCTAAGGAATAATATATTTTTGCTACGTTACAAGTGCTGTTTGCTCAACCATTAAACACATATTTTTTGACGTTTCAAGACTATAATGGTCATTCAACAGCTTAAAGTACATGATGTTAATGAGACCAATTCAATAACCATGAATCTCTACATTAAACCCACCAAAATCCTTCTGATGTCTGTTAACGTGTGCTATATACAGTAAGTTATCAACTTGTCAGATAATACACTGAATTCAACACAAAGTACAGCAACTAGTAATATTTGAGGTAGTTAGCAATGCCTTCTCATTAGTGTAGCAACACGCTAACTCGCGATTACGGTTGGAAAGCAGGACCACCGGCGCTTTGTTAGCCAACTGACGATTCATGAGCTAGCAGCTAGCAGGCGAGCTAACCCACAGCTGTCATCGACAACACTGCCAGTATTAGCCGCAACATTACTACGTTAGCTTAGTGTTATTATATTTTAAAGACTTTCAAAAACACACATTAACTAATACAACATATTTTACATTATTTTGTGGTAACTCGGTCACACAGCAAGCCAAAAGTTGATAAATACGGCGGCTTACCGGTGCACTTCACAAGTTAGCAAAATGTTTGTTAGCCTCTTCTATCCACTCTCCGCTAGCCGTGCTACAGCAGCGCGTCTCACAATCTGATCTTGGCGGTGTCTCTCTTCAGCGCCCTGTGATTGGACAGCATCGACGAGACGAAAGCAGAGCAGTAGAGTGGCTCGTGCCCACAGACAGCATCACTTGGGATTGGTGGATACCAACCAGCGTCATATATACACACACCGCCATCTGCAGGCCAGGAGTGGGAGGATTATCAACTGGGGTCGCAGACTGAGGTAGGATTTTTGTCCTGTTTTATAGCTGCTCATTTTGTTATTTCAATATCCCATGAATTCATGTCAATCATTTTGTTCCTCGTGACTTCATATCATTGTTTTTAGTTCTCGTATAAAACTTACTTTTGGTTGAAAGCCCTTAATTCTACTAGTAGGTGAATGACTGTGTTTTTTGCAAACAAAAAAGGAAATAAATACATTAAGATAAGTATAAAAAAAGAACCAGAGGCAAGCAGAAACAGTAAACATACACTAAAATAAATAATACAAAATATATATTCAAAAGCTATCAGACAATTAACAGTGAAGTGAGTGTTGCTGATAAGTGACAGCTTGTGATTGATAGCAGCAGAGTCAGCAAGTCACTGTAAACAGTGTACACCTAGGCAGGCTAATATATGATGTAGTATATCATAGTTCATTATTATATAGGTCTATGAGACAATATGAAACAGACTAGTATAGTAGTTATATGATACTATACTACAACAATGTAACATAATGTATAAGCATAAAAAAGCAATAAAACATGGGCTAGTATAAGTTTAATATATAGTGTAAGACATAACAGTTACCAATTAGTAATAGAATATTAAATATGGTATCATAAGTATAATATATAACACAAATAATCAACGAAAACGAATGCAGTGAAATAAAGCAGCCTTAAAATAAATGCTACTTTTTCTGTGAGGTGTTGATTCAAGTTTATGGAAGTTTTGTAGGATGTATTTTGGTGATGTTGATTTGTATTCGTTGTACAGAGGGGTGTTTTTCTTTTTGAGGGTAGAGTAAGTATAGGAAGCATCTTTCTCAGTATAAACAAATACAATACGACAGCCTAACAAACCGCTGTATGCAATCAGAGTAAAGCCCATGAAAGCATCTCACAACAAGTGGTTTCCCCTCTATTATAATGACCAACTAAAACCAGGATACCATTCGTACCCTTTTCACTGCAAAACAGCCAAAAGGAAGACTGACATCCACAGATACTCTATCAGTCATCCCTCACACTTGTTGAAGGGTGTATCATTTACACTTGAGATAAAACTCCAGAGTCCGCCCAAAACACATATTACATTTTTCTTTCAAGGTTGACACTTAGAGGGTTGTTTTTATGTGGGGGACTCAAATTACTCATTGTCCACCGAATATAATATAAAGGGGGAAAAATAAGAGCAGCTGGGCCCCCATTAACCCCACTGTCCCACATACTCTTTGTGTTAAGTGTGCAACTGTTTCATGCCTGAATACTGCCTTGCCCTAGATATACTGCGTATGCCTTTTAAATAAAACTATTAATTAAACGTAATACACAAGTAAACATCATAAAGAGTCTTAACAACTGTAAAGGCTGTATTGCTCATGGTGGGGCCTACTGCATATCTGTATTGATAATTACATTACATTACATGTCAGACTCATTTGTTAGACGCTTTTATCCAAAGCGATTTACATACATTCAGTACTGTGGACAATCCCCACAGGAGCAATTTGATAATCCAGCCATAATGTACACATGGTGCAATAAAGTAGAGTAACAGTCTCACTTTCTTTCCCCCCTACTTACAAACATGTATATTGAGTACATGGTTTTAAATATCAACAATAAAGTCACATAACATCAGAGCAGTTACTGCAGAACCTCATCCTTCAACTGCAACGTTTTATAGTTGCTTGACTACTTCCGCGCATGCGCATAATGAGAGACAGTCGGGCTACCAAACTGGTCAAACAGCGGGTGTAAAAATGGTAGGTAACCAAAATAAACACAAACCCAGGCTTTGTCTTTGGTGCCATTAAGACTTACCTTGAGCACTATGATCGTAGTATTAAAGTACACACTGTGTCGCGTTTTGGCACGTCTACAATGATAAGTTACGTGTGTTCGCTGCTATTACAGGGAAGGTCAGTTGATATTTTGGGAGCAGCTAGCTAGCTACACGTCCCTGTTTGGCAGTCTGTTAACTTAGGCTGTGAGCAGGTCAGTCTTTGGACCTTAAAGAAAGACACACACGGGATCGTTTTAGTGAGATCCCGGTATATATTTAACTATACTGACAGTCTAATCCCGTGATACAACATCGTTGATGTCAGTGATACAGTGTGGCTAACTTAGCTAACGTTAGCCAGTATAAGTTACTAGCTGGTGGTATGTAGACAATGCTAACCTAACGTTACCCTTCTGGTCGCACACACATCTGTGCAGTCTGAACAGAAGACTTTTGACTTCTGCTTCGTTTTTAACAGGAATCTGTAACGATTGGTGCAGTCATTAGCAACTTGGTGAACTCAGAGTTTAGTCTCCGGTTTCAGGAAATGCTCTCCAGCGAAGTGCAAGTGCTCAGATACAGCAGCTGCTATGCTGATTTTTCAGAACAATATCCATTAAGATTTTTTCTTTCGGGATGTCACCATCAAAAGTTTGCCCCCGATCCGAGTAATTTATTATTGAGTATCGATACCAGGACTATTTTCCTATAATAATATCTTTACACACTTTACGTACATTAAAGTTATTAAAACCAATTCAGTGTTTATGCTTGACAATTAAAAAGCGTTGCAATATATTCAAAGAAAAAGCCAGGATCCTAGCTGTTTCTTAATATGTTGTTTACTTTTGTTTTTACAAACTACTAATTATACTTATTGCATCATTGTAATAAAACTAGCTAGTTAAATATTTGTTTTTAAAGGACTCGTCACAAATTACCCAAGGCGATGTTTTCAAAACAAAACTCGGAGAAATTAATTGTAAATTAAAATGGAAAATTTGAGCAGTCAGAGACACTGTATTTTTACATTTTAAAAATTCAAATTAATATGAGTCCTTTAACTACTTAATGAATCAGAAAAACCTTAGAGCTCACTGTTGTTTATCATGTCTGTAAAACTTTCCCAACAGTTAACTGATGCAATATGCTGAGGTTATTTGTATGCCGACAATAGCTAAATTAAATATACTGAATGCCTGTTCATGCTTGCAGCCATAACTCATTTCTGTACACATATCTTACAAAAGTAAAAATTCCCAACTTTTTCTAAAAGTGTTGACAATATTAATGTATGAAGTATTCTGAGAAATGCAATATTATTTAATTTATTGCCGTATATTTCTGTCAGGGTGCTTGTGTTACACTCCAGACTTGTTGCACCCTCAGGTCCGGGTGATGGCATCCCATTTCCCTACTCATGTTACATCTGTGACTGTAGTTATCTGAGGGGCCCTCGCGGGTACAGCATGTGCTTTGAGAATCCACAACATCCCCCTTCAGAAAAGCCCATGTTGCCGTTGGATAGGACATTATTAACAGGACAGCGACTTGGCTCACCACCGACAATATGTGTGTCAGTGTGACAGACTAACCTTTTGATATACAAGTTTCTGAGTGTCTCGTAGTCCTAACTCTTGCCTGAATGCCTGTAGATGTGTGTGTCTCGCTGTGTGTTCTGGTCTGTGTTTCGGTCTGTGTTTGTGTGTTGCTGTCAGTCTTCCCTGGTCTGATCGCGCCCGTGTCTGATAGTCCCTGTCCTGTCCTCACACAGCATAAGCTAAAGTCTTCGCAGAGGGACAAGGTACGGCAGTTCATGTCCTTCACACAGGCTGGGGAGAAGACAGCTGTGTACTGCCTCACGCAGAATGACTGGAAACTAGAAGTTGCCACCGACAACTACTTTCAGAATCCAGACCTCTACTGCAAGGAATCCATGAAAACGTCAGTAGACCGGAAAAGGCTCGAGCAGCTCTACAATCGCTACAAAGGTAAGTCTGTAACCCAAAATATCAACCTGAAAGAACTGTATTTTTTAAAAAAAGTTCTAGACACTACTTTGGCGCAGAAAATGTCACTGATACTCTTCCCCCCCCCCACTCCTTGATAGATCCCCAGGATGAGAATAAGATCGGTATCGATGGGATCCAGCAGTTCTGTGACGACCTCTTGCTGGATCCAGCCAGCATCTCCGTGCTGGTCGTGGCGTGGAAATTTCGTGCCGCCACTCAGTGCGAGTTCTCCAAGAAGGAGTTTCTGGATGGAATGACAGACTTGGGGTGAGTGTTGACATCAACAGCGTGAGACATGCTCCAAAGTGGGACATAAACAGTGTGCCCAAAGTGTCATTAGTGGTGGTTCCTCTTGGAGTATAGCTCCTGGGAGCGAAGGTTGTCTATATATAGAGCCACTCAACCACAGCTAGAGTATTCTGTGTCCTTATGGAATTACTCAAAGAGCTGCAGTGTTTTGACTTTAGAAGTTCGAGTTACCTTTGGCAAATGTGTCATCAGCATTAAAAAGCTAATGTTGCAACTGGTTAGGGTGTCTGTGTGTATTTAAATTGTTAGTTTATTTATTGCTTACATTTGTTTTTTTCTAGGTGTGACAGCCCAGAAAAACTGAAGGCCCTTTTGTCAAGATTAGAACAGGAGCTTAAAGACAGTGGGAAGTTTAAGGACTTCTACCAGTTCACCTTTAACTTTGCCAAAAATCCTGGGCAGAAGGGTCTAGGTAAGATGAGTTACAACAACAACATCAACAACAACAACAACAACAACAACAACATCTTGCTTAATGGTGTCACTGAGTTTCAAACCGTTGTTAAGTGTTCTGCTTTGTGTTTGTGTGCAGACTTGGAGATGGCCGTAGCTTACTGGAACCTGGTTCTGTCGGGACGGTTTAAGTTCCTTGATCTTTGGAACAGATTCCTCCTGGTGAGTCAAGGAAGTGAAATTTAGAATCAGTATCAGCACCAACACTGACCTTATTAAGCAAATCAGGTATTAGCCACGACCAGAGATGGGGTCGTTACTAAAAAAAAAAGTAATGTATTACATATTACTTTTTTTTTTAAAAAGTAATGTATTACACTACTTCGTTACTCTCTACATAAAGTAACTCGTTACTTTACTCGTTACTTTACTCGCAGGGCCGGCCCGTCCCTCCCTACAGGCAGATCACGCAGACTGCTAACGTTTCAAATGTTCTCTTTAGTTCAGTTTCCATTGTCGCATGCGACTGATCCAGATAGCTCTGGATCTGACCATGGCTGTCCTCTGTCTCCTGCTATCTGTATTTTGCGCAGTATATCTATGAACGATGGTGATTCCACTTTGCAAATGGGCAACATTTCCTCTACTATGAAGGATGCTACAAGCCTGTCCATCTCTGCTTTGGTTACCGGTCCTCCAAATTCTAATTTGTGTTGCTTCAGGGTCGGCGGCGGCGCTCTCACAACATCCTCACTCTGGGTTCGGGGGTCCTTAGCTATTAGCTTCACCTTAGCATGTGTTCTTTGCAGGTGTTTGTTGAGGTTTGTCGTGGTGTTTACAGCAGTGGATAACAGCTTCTGGCCTGGACACAGTTTGCACCTCACCGTCACATTCCTGTCTATTATTCGGACGAAGTCAAAATAATGGGCATACCTCCACCCCTCGAAAGTTATCGCTGACTCAGCCATGTTTATGCAGCACTGCACGTGGAGATGTGGACGTGCAAATCGCGCAGATTACGTACATATAAACCTGCGGCGGAAACCCCTCTTGTCTGTCAGTGTGATTAGGACTGATTTTATAAAAGTAGCAAAGTAACGCGTGTCGGGGCAATGTTAGTAATTGTAGTGTGATTACTGAATTATAAAAGTAGCGCGTTATACTACTCCGTTACCGACAAAAGTAATATTATTACCAAACTCTGGCCACGACATGACCAACAAATATACAATTGTCTCCATTTGTTACATTTACGTCATGCAATTTGTATGGTCAAAGTAATCCCTTGCCGTGTTACCTTACCCAAAAGCATCAAATAACTTTAAATGTAAAAATATCAAATCACTTCAGTATCATCTTTTTTGATACTGTGTCAATCTGCAAAACCTCAACTGCCTTTTTTCTAATAGTTTACATCCAAAGATTTGTGACAGACAGAAGTCCTGATTCCACATAAAGCAGTTGTTCTGAATGCATTAAAAAGTCCTTTTTGTTTAACTTGGATTGTTTGCATAGGGCTGTGTTTTGTTTCTGCTGTCAGTTATCCTTACATTAGATTTGTCTTGCCTTGCTTAAAATGTCCAGTATATGTAATGGTATCCCCCCCAACATCGTACTGCCAGATTCTTGCCAATACACCGCCTTAATAGGAACACAGATTTAAAATATTAGGGAAGAAGAATATTCAAGAGTTGAGATTTTAGAATGGATTTCAAGTGGGATAAACATGGATTGTATATCAAAAGATAAAAACACATTTGTTTCAATCAAGGTGAACTTGACTTTCATGCCAATTGACAACAATTGACCCCAACAGTCTCTTGTTGTTTGAAGGAGAAACTGTGGATAATGTGGGGAATTGATTCATCAGATTATGTCGGAAGTTTGTATGAAAAGACCAGCTATTCTTGACCATCTGTTGTCCATCACAGGAACACCATAAACGATCCATCCCAAAGGACACGTGGAATTTATTGTTGGACTTTGGAAACATGATCGCAGACGATATGTCAAACTATGATGAGGAAGGTGAGTTCTGGATTCATCGATCTGCTTCCTCTCTAAATCTGGGAACATGGACTTTACTGTTTCAATCCCTCCCACTGATGATCTCTTGTTTCTTTTCTCAGGAGCGTGGCCGGTCCTTATAGATGATTTTGTGGAATTCGCTCGACCAATTGTAACGGGATCAAAACGTAAAACTCTCTAAATCCACTCCCAACTCTGGAAAAGCCAGAACCTTGTTTCTTTTACAGTGACTTCATTGTTTTTTTTAAGACTTGTACAAAAAAAGTGAAAATTGTAGACGAGAGAGAAAACAGAAGCACTTGAAACTGTCAGGACACCACCGTTCAGGGAGCTGAGTACAAACATTGAGAACAACTGGCCACTTTTTATTGCCCTCATGAGACCGGGGCGTCATCCGGACATCTGGCGGATCCACCGTTGTCTCTCCGCTGGATTCTCAGCATCCTGGACGCCTCTGCTCGGCTCCAGGAGGAGCGCAGCCCTGTATGAGGGGATGGACACAGCGCTGAGGAGCTTCACTGGCTGTGTGCACTCTAAAGGGACTGGAGAGGAGGAAACTGTGTGTTACGCTTTGTTTTGTTATATGAAGCTCTGAGCGACTGTGCAAAGTTCCCATGTCTTACTCTAACTCTGAGTGCTCGCGACACCAGCACCAAACAGAACTGTTGCAGTTTTTACTGTACATACTGTATCTATTGGGACAGTTTACAAAGAGAGCTATATGAAGAATAATATAAATACTTTCAATTTATAAATGCAAAAAGAGGATTCTTTTATGTACAGTCAATGCTTAGATCTCTAACGGGATGCCTCGATATCGTGGATGATACGCTGTTGGTTTAAGTGTTCGGTGGATCTGTCATGGAGTTGTGAGCTTCTCGTTGAAAGCATGTTAAACACATTTTACGTCACCACGAACTGGTTTCACAAATACATTTTCACTAAAGTAAAGGCAGTGCTTTCATTTAGCTAACTGAGTTTGGTTCGTGGTTTTCATTTGTCAGGTTAATGTCAGTTGGGAGTATTAAATCTTACATGTGACACAGTCCACATACAGCAGCAAACTTATGTTTTCAAAAGATTACTGTTGAGGAAATGTTAAAATTACTATTCAGAAGCATTTAAGTGAAATATAAAGTGAAGAACTGACAAACCCGTAGGATAGCATGGCACATATCCGTATGTTATGGCAGTGCTCAGTTCTGAAGCCAGGACGTTAAAGACGGGACGACAAAGTAAGCCTTAAGAATGAATATCTGTCTGTTCAATATTTATATTTCTGTTCGAGCCCATCTGTCCAGTGTTACTGATGGTAGTGAAAACTAGAATATATTGTTAAAACATCATGTAAGTATATTGTTCATTTGAGAAAGATGAATAAAGCATGAGCTTTTCCATAATCATACATGCAAAAAGTTATTTTGTTGATGAGACACATTTTATATCCCACAACAGTGCAGCTGCTTAGACAGGAGTGTATTTGTTATGATTGACAATGTAAAAAATATTTATAACCATACTGATCTGAAAGCTTTAATATTACATTTTACAGAATAATCCTCCATGTTGTTGATTGTTAATAATAAACAATATTTAACAAGATCTTTCGAGTACATTCTCGTTATAATTTGGATAGTGCTTTGGAAAACAAACCTCATTAATTAAACATTATTTATTAAATATGTACCTGTTTGCGCAATGTAACATATCTAAAGTACAGTATTGGATGATGGTGAGCTGTCAAGGAAGTTTGATCATAAAGTATTTTAAAATGTATTCTACGTCCTCAATGTGTCTATCATAATACACAGCAGGTTAAGTGACTATGAAATTATATGTACGTCATTATGTACCTGCATGTTGTGCCATCTTTGCAAAGATAAATTGTCACGAACATCAGTGTTTAGTTTGCGAAAAGGGTTTTATGACATGTTTAGATGTTACAACACTTAAAACATTTCGTTCAAATCAGACAACTGTGTGTTCCCTAGTTTGCTTTTTTTATTTCTCCATCATTGCTGTCAAATAAATGCAGAAATACAATAAAAATCATGGTTCTGTAAAACTAATGTGACAGAAAAGAAAGAATAGCTCATCCATGGCTACCATTTAGGGAATAGTTCACATTATGGAAGTCTTACAGGAAAGTGGTCGGTAGCAGAAGGACTGGATTTGTCCCCTATCACTTTCATAGGAAGGGCATTGGAAAAGGATATTTTGAGCAGGAGGAATTACAACAAGCTAAACCTGTTCCAGTGTACATAACAGCGCCTTATTATTTGCTGTAAAGACACACTGATGTGGCCGTATCCTTTAAGGGAAAGCGCACGTCCTCTACCATACCTGGGAATGTGCTGGATTAACACATTTGAATGAGATTATTTTTTCTATAATCTGTTTTAAAGGGGTCATATAAAACCAGCATTATTGTATTTCTGGCCACTTGGGGGCAGTGAAAACATTGATATCAAAATATCCTTTAGAGAGGCACTACAAATAAATGTAAATTAGTAAAGTAAAAGGGGTTTAGTCTTCCTTTTGATAGTTATATTCCTTGCAGTGCATTTTAGATATATAATTTAGATCATAGGAAGCTGCCATGTAGGCTACATAATAAACAGTTAAGAGAATGTGTACTTTTTTGAAAGACATTTAAATATTTTTCTATTTGCCTTGAACGGGGGAAATTTGGACTCTGTTTTTAAAAAATAAAAATAGTAGTATTTTAAATGTTTAAAAGTCCTGGCTATGAATCAATGTTTACCATCTACAGGAAGTACACACCTCTGTAATGATACATAATTGACTGTACATGAGAACATACTAGCAAACATCACTCTCTTCCTCTAATTGTTTTTGCATGCATATAGCTCGATGCTTCCTTTATATATACAGTCTATGGATGCTACCTTTAAACAGTCTATGGATGCTACCTTACAGTCTGGATGCTACCTTTAAACAGTCTATGGATGCTACCTTACAGTCTGGATGCTACCTTTAAACAGTCATGGATGCTACCTTTAAACAGTCTATGGATGCTACCTTACAGTCTGGATGCTACCTTTAAACAGTCTATGGATGCTACCTTACAGTCTGGATGCTACCTTTAAACAGTCTATGGATGCTACCTTTAAACAGTCTATGGAGGCTACCTTTATTGGATACTACCTTTAAACAGTCTATGGATGCTACCTTTATATATAAAGTCTATAGATGCTACCTTTAAACAGTCTATGGATGCTACCTGTGGAAGTTACCTGCGTGTTCCTTCCACAAGCCCCGCCCCTCGGTTTCAACAGTAAGGTGAGTAATTTGAAACTCCGACCGCTTTGTTATTTACCTTCACAGCAGACAACTCTATTTCAAGAAACAGACATGGAATAAGCAGGATTTGTATAACCTCGCAGGCGGACTACTTTATACCCGCAGCACATGACACACAATGGAGCTGAAAGGAAATGCTTCTCAGGCTCTTTCGGGTGATAATGACAGTGAAAGGTGAGCTTTGTGTCGATGTGTTCACTGACTGCTGCTTCTCTTTTAGTTACGGTTAAAACATGTTTATTCTTGACTAACAGTAACATCAGGTAATTTCCTCATCATATAATTGTATTTACATCAGTGGTGGAATGTAATTAAGTGCATTACTCAAGTACTGTACTCAGGTAAAACAAGATGTGGTAGTACTTACATATAGTATTTTACAATTATGCTACCTTGTACTTTTACCTTACTACACTTTGTAGGCACTTCTTAGTCCACTATGATTTTATAAAGTCAGTTACAAGCCAGGTTACACAAAAAGACTTGTCATAACAAATATAAATATATTATAAACACTGTATTTGTATATATAATTATAGGTTAAGCTACCCAAGAGTATATAAAGTAATTAAAAACAATTCAATTATTGATTATATATGATTTAAGACTTGGCCGTACTACATGAGTACCTTTACTTTTCGTAGAAAGTATAATTTGATACTATTACTTTTGTACTTTTACCTAAATACGATTTTGAATGCAGAACTTTTACTTACTAGCTTATTATTATAATTATTATCTTTATTGTAACAAAGTATTTTTAAACTGTATTGCAATCTTTACCTGAGTAAATGATCTGAGGGCTTCTTCCACCTCTCGTTGCCACTTTGTTTTACTTAAACATTTACAACAACAGTTATTAAAACTACCGAGATCAGTAAAATATCATTTCAAAAAGCTGTTTGTTGAAAAAACTAAACTTTCTGAGGTTACTTTTCAAACTTCAATGTTGCTCTTGCTACTATAAACCCAGTATACAGTAATTTAAAACGGACTAATCATCAGGCTTGGGTATTTGATCTCCTCTCTGCTGAAACCCAACCCTGGGGAGGCTGTTGTAGCGTCTGTCCTCAGGGAATAGGAGCGACAAAGAAGGGCGGGGAGGAAAGTGACACCAGCTGTCAGTGGTGCTTTGTGTGTAGTACTATATATATGTAAATGCTGGACTCTGTGGATTTGCCCCTTCAGGATTGACCCTTATGGCTTTGAGAGACGTCAGGATTTTGAACCCTACAAGGAGATGATGACAGAATATGTAGCGGTGCTCAACAGAAGGTCAATGAGATGGGACAAACTGCTTCAGGAGAAACCACATGTGGAGAAAAACCTGACAGGTACAACAACAACAACAACAACAACAACAACATATCACCAGTGGAGGAATGTAACAACAGAGACATTAACTAAAGCTCGATACTTCTATTTGACACAGTTGTACTTCACTTCATTTCCATTTTAGGCTACTTTATACTTCTACTCCACTACATATCAGAGGCAGGATTTGTACTTTTTTTTACTCTCATAGCCACTTTTAAGAATCAGAAAATCTGAAATATTGTATTCATCCCCCATGAGGACATGTAAGTGTGACGTATACTGCTGTGAAAAGCACCCTGCTGCAAACTGGGTACATCCTTTGATACTTTAGGCTCATAATACTTTTGTACTTCTATCTAAATAACATTTTAAACTCAAGACTTTTACTTGTAATGCTGCAATTAAGAAATAGTACCTATGCTTCTACACAAGTAAAGGATTGAAGTACTACTTCTCTATTAGCGCACCACTGTTGTGCTTTCAGTGCTTTTTGTGGTTATGTAATTGCAATTATAAATATATATATAAATGTTTTCTTTGAAGTGAAGCGCTACGTGCGTAAAGGTGTGCCTAATGAGCACCGTGCCAGGATCTGGATGGCGGCCAGCGGCGCTCAGGAGCGACTGGAAAGAAACCCGGGTTACTACCAGGCTCTGCTGAGCATGGAGCACGACACCAAGCTGAAGGAAACCATCCACACAGGTGCAAACAAACAAACAAACGTTACACAGAGGACATTTTGACAGGGGTGGACAGAAAGTACATTTACTCAAGTACTGTACTTTTTTGAGGTTCTTTACTTGAGTCATTTCATTTTCTGCTACTTCACACTTTAACTATAATATACTTTAAAGGAAACTAAGGAACATCTTACTCCCCTTCATGTATTTAATAACTTTCTGAAGTTAGAAAATCATATTCAGATCAATAATGCAAAAATATATTTATAATATTAATTGATCTTGTATTATTATTACAGGATTAAGATTAAACTTTATTTATCCCTTGGTGAAATACACACGTTCTGCAGTATAAAGTAAAAAGGATATAAGCTCCTACTTTTCCAGCTACAAAATTAGAGTGATGAACACATTAATGCGTCAATAACTCTTATTTTGATAACATAAAATATTGTTCTTATTTCGGTCGTTGTTCAAATGTAAAAATAAATTGTTGTTGTTTATGCTTTGTACTTTTATTTAAGATTTTGAATGCGTGACTTTTACTTGTAACAAAAATATGAATACACTTTCCTTCTTACTAAGACACTTGAATAGAATAGGGGACATGAATAATGTAATTAACAACAGAGCTTTGTCTATGAAGTGTCAAAATGTCCTCTGTGATAAAAGCCGGATCCAGCCTCCCCATCCCCCTACAATGATTCCCCCTTAAAAAAACCTCCACACGCCTGAACTTGTATCAACACAGGCACATTTCATCATCAATTCATCATCAATCATACATGTGATACTCCTGTAACCACCTACATGTATGTATGTTTGAGACTGAGCTGTTTTTGTTTTTGTTACGTTTTGTCTTTTGGTTTGCTTTGCTTTGTAATTATGTATTTGTCATGTATGTGCTACTTCATTATTGTGTTGTAAAAACTGGAGAAAATAAATAAATATATTGTTAAAAAAAACAAACAAAAAACACAGGTACATTTCTTATTAAAATTCTTGTCTTGTTATTTTTGTCAGACATGCACAGGACCTTTCCTGACAACGTCCTCTTCCAGAGCAAAGCAGAACCGAGCCTGCAGAGCGCTCTATTCAACGTGCTGCTGGCGTACGGACACCACAATAAGGAAGTGGGCTACTGTCAGGTGAGGAAAGCTCATACCTCTCATTGTTTACCTCAAGAACAGTTAGTTCCTTATTCATTTAAATACAAACAACCCACATGTCCCTTTCTTTGCACCATGTACTAATTCCTCTTCCTGTACAACAAACTTTATTGCTTAAATTAAAATACTAATTTACATTTTGATGTATACAGTATCACAGACATTTTCTTTTTTTAAATCAATGGGTTTGCTTAATGTAAACAGTTGTGTAGTTATCTATTTTCCCCAGAAATGCAACCATAACAAGTTAACAAAGTATTGGTGTAAAAGCTCTTTGATTTAGCGAGTTGGAAAGATGTTGTTGCTGAGGATGTGTCTTGTCCTGCCAGGTATTAGGGTGCATGTGTCTGTAAATCACTGTTATAAAATCATCGCTCTCTCTCTGTTCGTGTCAGGGCATGAACTTCATTGCAGGCTACCTCATGATCATCACCAAAAATGAAGAGAACTCCTTCTGGCTCATGGATGCATTGTTGGCTAGAATGCTCCCAGGTATTTTTTATTTATTCATTTATTTAACAGGGACAGTGCACATTAATGCACATTTCTGTAAATGTGCCAGAGTTAGCCAAGAGGCTATTTTTCATCTGTAGTCCCTGGACAGATTTTAAAAGTCAACCTAAAACACATTTCATTTTTAACAAGTAAATACAATACATTTAAAACATGCAACAGATATTACTGGGATATTTAAATAAAACAATTTAAAATACAGAACATTAAAACAAAACAAATAAAACAAAACAAAAGAACATGTTAAAACAAAGGCAGTGGGTTGTGGAGCAGAAGATTGGGTCAGTGTTGGCAGAGCTGATTCCTCACTAACCATATTTTGAGTTTTGATTTAAATAAAGTGAACGTGGTCTGGTCTCTGATTGGAGATGGGATTGAGGTAGAGTTTATTTGTATTCTTTATCTTCACAAACACTATGAAAGGTCATGCAAACACCGACAAGTGTCTAAAAAGAGTACGAGTTGCCCAGCCACCGCAGCTACAACACAAGTGACAGGACAGTTTTTGGAGATGTCAATAAAAAGGCAGAAAAGAGGTCTAATTAAACTCCAAAGTGACACAGGGCCTTTAATCCATCTCACTTTATTTGTAAAGCATTACATTAACTGAATGTTTTCAAATAAAAAATGGAAGAAAAGTTCAAATAAAGCATTACAAAAAAGTTGTTGATATTAAAACTCTTTCAAATCAGTAATACTGTCATATAGTGTTCAAATTAAAGCTATGGGCCAGCATTAGCATACTGAATGAATACACACTTCAAGGCAGATCTGAGAGCAGTGTAGCATGATCATTTACCTGCAACGAAGCTCTGCATATGTTCCTGTTTATAAAGGGAAGAGAGACCAAAGTGTACATTTTCTAGATTAGTGATAACATTTAAATGCATTTGCCTCTGCTGTTCAGTGTTATATCATGACCCACTTGAAGCAATGTTGGGTCATTGATGTCAGGCTTTTTAAGAGAATTAAGGCTGACTATAATGTGTTAATAGAATTATCTACAAAATGCAAATTAATAGTAATAGCTTGTTCGTTATGACTCATTGTAATAAAAAAGGCTAAATAGTAATGGACCCAGGTTGGAGCCTTGTGGAGCTCCACATTGAAAATTCATTCTGGACTACTACATCCATTTCAATTTGATATCAGATTTATAAAAGTAGAGATATGAGCAAAACAAAAATAAAAGTAACTCCTATACTTTGTGGATATTGTAGATTTCTACAGTCC